GGTTAGGTAACAGAAAATGGCCTATTACCAAAACCATTGAAATACGGGATTTTTGGATCTTTTCAATCTCATCTAACATAACATCATTCTATGTCCGAAAATGTGTTCTACAAAAGCATTATAAACTGATAAAATATATGGAAACTGGGAAAGCTGCCTTAGTCTTACACTCACTATTATCAACAATTCATTCAGTCAACCATGCCGAGATGGTACTTCATAGAATAGAACAGCAGTCAATAAACAAAGGGGGCTAATTCCACTAGAGATTAAGGAGAAGTAACGCGACTTTACTTTTAGAAGAGTCGTTGCTACCGCTGGCGTCAGGCGTCGGCGTCGCGATGCTGGAGCAGGATGGGCGACGATCGGCAGCATCAGAGGCGCTGCGACTCAGACATGTAGAGTCAGCCTCACTACATAAGTTTGCCAAGCGCATAACTGCAGCAGAGAAAACAAAATGGCATAACAAATAAAAGAGAGAAAGTTCTTTGATGTGATTCGAAAACCCTTGACCACGATGGGCTATCCTAGTTAGCACACTGGTTGTTGAAAAATAAGCACAGAAAATTTTCAGATTAAACTTAAAAAAGATTTTGGTAATAAGAAAATAGTGTAACGACTCTTAGGAGGCGAAATGCGGCAGAGTCACACGGTTATTTGAGCGACATATGAAGGACACGATCGGTTAACTTAGAGATAATGTCCTACGTCATTATCCATTGAGCGGAGAAATGGAGTGATTTAAGTGAGAAGGCAATACTTATATTGAAATGGTTAAAGTCGAAAAAACCATAGCCTTCAAACGTACCGCTTTTCATGAATTTCTCATGAAGACCACGCACTCTCGTCTGCTCATCATCAAGCTGCTGTATATCGGATTGGCTAGTCAAAGACCGTCGGTTCAGTTGCTGATCCCTGCTCGTTGAACGCCCGCTGTTAGACCGAGACGCTGATGTGATAAGGCCATCATCAACAAAAAGGGTCCTAAATACCGTATTACGAATATCCCATTGAGCGAATATATCAGCAGTAAGCTGACTTATGAACTCCAATTTCTCTTCCTGTCGCTTCCTGCGTTCTTCAGCGGCTTCGAGGACCCTAGTATTCTTTTGCAGCACTAAAACGACATTCGCAGGTATGTTCAAAAGCATTGTGGTACCGTGGTTAATAGTACATCTCCACGAGAAGCATCGTGTGCTCCTGACAATAAAATAACATTTTCAGGACATAACATAACCCTTAAAATAAACAGTTTCAAACCTAGATTTAACAGGTACTGGTAAGGGCAAAATCACACTGTACCTTCCAAACATATGGACTTCAGGCACTATAAAACAAGGTTTCATAAGGAAAGAAATGAACTAAGGGCTTTGAGATTCAAAAAAATCCGTTTTAATTTAAATGAGAAACCGATCAATACGAAGTGACGCCTGTAGTGAATAAATATCAAAGTTCCTCGGTGCTGAGGTGCAACGAAAGCCCGATTTCTATCAGCCAGAATTGTACATTACTAAATGCATCCATATAGATGTGTGAAAACCTGAGGCTTACGCATGCTCTCCACTTCTGGCTCAACTACTTTGCCGAAGTTATCGAACCCTTCTGTGAATATCTTTTGCCACCGAGCGACTTCATCATGTGTGGAACAGATGAATTTGGTCAAAGTCGGCGCAGCGTTCTTAGAATCCATGAGAATGATGAAGGTAAGCGGAGAACCAGCTTGGTCGCGAAAGTAGCCGAAGTACTTAGTCCATACAAGGATTGGTGGCTGCATTGTGATAGCGAAAATAAGACCTTGCTTATAAGTTCCTCATTTTCAAAAATCACTGATAAAAAGGTTAGAAATTGGGAGAGAACTGAAGAGTATCGGTGAAGTGAGTTAGCTTAAAAACATATATTTTTTGGAAGCAATAATCCGGGGATTTAGTTAATTGTCAACGTAATTTCCCACCCTACTTCGCCTACTCATCCGCTTGATCATCAAAGGAGATTGTGATTTGATGGAGTAATCATACTCTTCAGTCATCATCTCAATGCATGCAACACATAATTTATGAAATTACAAATCCAGATTCTCACTATCGAAAACATGATACAAAAAGAATCAGAGAGCAGATTTTCGAGATATTCAAGATGCGCTCAAAGGAGTTGCTCACCATATTTGTATCGCGATAGAGTGAATATTTCCCGGTTTCAGGGTCTTGCCGAAGGAGGAAGAAGCAATCTTTGAGCGCCACACCATGAAGTTCTACGTTTTATCCAGACATATGATGTTGAATGAATAAGGCAAAATGTCTTCACTCCCGAAATCGAGCAAACAACAAAACATTGAAATGGAATGAGGTTTAAAAGGAGACAAAATTGATTATGTTGCTCTGGATATAGCACATGTTACGGAAATTCAACAATCCGCAATACCCAGAAGAATAATTTACGCAAGACCCACAACAGGAAATTACCAAATATTCACACCAACTACATTCTTATCAAATGAAACACCGATAAATTTTTGACCAATTGGTGCTTAATAGAGATAAATTATTATTTTATCACCTAACTTTAAAGACCTCAAATATACGTGCTGCTGAAAATCGGAAAATGCTCGAAAAACAAGCAGCGAAAGTATTGAAACTGAATGCTTAAATACCACATGATTTGTTTTGCTTAAAGTTAGCAAATAGGAGAGGCCTTGCTTAGAAATTACTATACTGCGAGAATAACCTACAAAAGTACCAATGAGTATCTGGAAATATCAAATTGTAAGCGATTGGTGCTGACCGATATTGCATAGTTTTCCGCCTTCCTTGCGACTCTGAACGGCCAGTTTATCATAGTTGATTAGTTTTGCGTCTGAGGCTTTCATCCATTCAAGAAGGGATTTATGTTTCGTATTGCTGCTATCCACGTCGACCCAATCCTCTTTTAAATTGTCCGCAAAGTAGCGCAGCTTCTCCGCATGTACCAGGTCGGTCATTTTCTGCTGAGCACCTCGAAGCAGACCCTTTGCCGCTCTTCGGCATGCATTAAGGTCGTCAAGCTCAGTTGAATCATCCTGAACTGAAGGGTAAAAAAATTCCTTATGCAGATGAACTTTCTTATCTTGAAATACAAAACCAATTTCAGACAATTCCTTTCACAATGGTAAAAAAAATTATTTCCTTCTCGACACGGTTCAACATGACACATCGTACAATCCAAAGTAAATCAATTTCTGAATGAAAATTGAACTTT